AAAGAACAAGCGAAGGGTGAAGGGTATAAGGGTACTCCGAACTGTTCTCGGGAAGCCTTATCTTCTTTTTTTTTTTCTTAGTAGTAAAATGATTAAAACTAACTTGAACTTGTACTGTCGGAAGAAGCAGTGCCGCCAATAACTAACTGGGTTGATAGGTGGTTGATGGGTGGTTGATGGGTGGTTGATGGGTGGTTGATGGGTGGTTGATGGGTGGCTGGAGTGGTTTGCTCCTTCTTTCAAAACAAACGTATATCATCCTTATCTCTTCTTCTTCTTTCCTTTGGATGTAGATTCTAGTAACAACTCTAACCTTTGGCAAGTACATAATAGCATTTATGCTGCGCATTTCCATTTTCTAAAATGCCCAATGCGCATTACATAAAAAAGACACCACATTTTAAAAATTAATTGACATGTGTGTACGTAAAATAAAGTATTGTGCATATATAAATATTCATATAAAAATCTCATTGAGAAAAACTGTCTCTCATGATCTATTTGTGTTGCAAGAGCGGGAAGACGCTTACTTAATCTAAACACATTATTATCATTATTTTATCTCTCCTCTTCTTCTCTCTTGTGTATGTTATTCTCTAGTCACACTTCTTATCTTTGGCACTTAGATGATCTATTGATGTTGCCAGTGTCGCAAACTAAACTGCCTGGTTTGTGGCAAAGATTGAACATGGGTGCAGGGGGGGTGAGAGAGGGAGAGAGAGACAGAGAGACAGACAGACAGACAGACAGACAGACAGACAAACAGACAGACAGACAGACAGACAGACAGACAAAAAGAGAGAAAGAGAGAGAGAGGGGGGAGAGGCAGAGACAGAGACAGAGACACACAGAGAGACAGAGACAGAGAGAGAGGGGGGCGGTTTAGGGTGTACCCGCAGACACGGTTGATTGGTTTCTAATGGCCCAGTCAGTCTATAGCGACGTCCTCTATCCGTGTAATTACTTAGTGTTGTGAAGTAGCGAGCACCCTGCACTTTATACTCCCTACATAATTGTATCTACGGCTTCGGCCTTCTCAACCCAGCTCTTTTCACTACATTGAATGTGCATTTGGAACCTTTTCACGGGGACCTTTGAGGTTTTGAATATGCTTTTTACTCTCAGTCCCAGATATTGACTAAAATTTTTTAACTGGACATAATTATTATTATGTATTTCTTTTGACTGTATTCAATGTGCATTTTGGAACTTTTTCACTGGGAAGTTTGAGATTTTGAATATGTTTTTGCTCCTAGACATGGACTAGAATCTGAAACTGGACATAATATTAGCTAGTTCTTTTGACTACATTTAATGTGCATTTGGAGCTTTTTCACAACGAGTTCTGAGATGATAGATATGTATTTGCTCCCAGTTATAGACTAAAGTTCTGATATTGAACATGATATTGTTAATCGCATTTTGTGCTCAGCGATTTATTACTAGTCGTGTGTTTGCTTTGTGACTGCGTGTCAAAGTTTGCTCTACAAGATCTTATGAAGTTAGGCTTTGGCACGCAACATTGGACGCGTTATTGTTTTCTTAGAAGGGAGGTGGGTGTGTGTGGGTGGGGGG